TTTATAGTTTTCAGCATGGGTCTGTCACCTCCTTGGTCAAGTTTATTCCTAGATATTTTATTCTTTTCATGCAGTTTCAAATGCAATTGTTTTCTTGCTTTCTCTTTCTGATAGTTCATCATTAGTAGTGTATAGAAAAGCCACATATTTCTGTTTATTAATCTTATATTCTGCAACTTTATTGAATTCATTTATTCTAATAGTTTTTTTGGTGGAAATTTTATAGTTTTCTATATAAAATATGACATTATCTGCAGATAGTGACAGTTTTTCTTCTCTTCCAATTTAGATGCCTTTTATGTCTTTTCTTTTTGTCTGATTGCTGTGACTAGGACTTCCAATACTATGGTAAATACAAGTGGCAGGAATCGGCATCCTTGTCCCAAGTTTCAAGGGTTTGAGAGCAGAAGTCCTGAAGGTTAGGTCTGAGCTGGTTCCATTTTCTCTAAGTGTGTGCTCCCCCCCAGCAACCTCGGCATTTTCACCCCAGAGGGTAGCAGTGCTGGACCATGAGAGGCCAGAGTGGGCAGTCGGTGTGGGTCAAGGTGCACACTGGGGCAGTCCCAGCACACTGGAGTTCCAGACTGCTTCTGATCTGCTGTCCCCACGAATGCCAGTAATGGTTGCCCTCACCCCATTCAGATGCAGTGCTGGGTCTGGGCTGGCTCTGCCTGCCACAGCTGTCTACTCTACTCGGCTATGGCAGCCTTCACCCTAGTGGGGAGCTGTGCCATGGAGCAAGAGGGGCTGAAGCGGCCCTCAGCATGAGCCAGGGTGCACGTTTGGGCAGATGCAGGAAGCCAGCTAAAGTACCTGGCATTTTCACTTGCTTTCTCCACCCTGTTTTGAGAGAAACCAAGCACGTGGGTGCTCTTCACTAGCAACGTCTAGATTTCTCACAGCCCCTGCTAGTCCCACTGGTCTTCACGTCAGCCAAGAAGAGGACTTATCTTTCTGGTGTTGGACCCCAGGGCTAGGTTTCCTAATATGTGGTTCACACCCCTCACTGTTTGGGGAGGGTCTCTGAGCCCATGCAGTCCCCCTCCTCTGCTGTATCCCCTCCTAGGGGCAAAGGTCCTCACCTGATTGCTTCTCCTCTTTTCTTACCTGATTTCATGTGGATCTTTCATTACAGCCTTGGTTGTATAAGAGCCTTTCTGCCAGTCTCCAGTTTGTTTTCAGTGAGAGTTGCTCCACATGTACAATAGATGTATTTTTGATGTGTTCATTGGGGGAGGTGAGCTCTGAATCCTCCTACTCCACCATCTTGATCTCCTTCCCCCATGTATTTTATTTTTTATTTCTATTTTTGTGTCTTTAAGTTTTTAAACCTTTTCTTCTACAATGTCTTAATGTGCCACTTATCCCATCCAGTGTATTTTACATCTCAGTGTTGTTTTCATCTCTGGAATTTTTTTTTAGTGTCCCTTCTTATATAGTTAATCTTTTCTATATTTTCTTGAACATATGGAATATAGTTTCAATACGTTTTTAAATATCTTTTTGTATTAATTCTGTTACCTGGTAATTACTGAGTTGGTTTTGATTTTTTCTCTCCTCCTTATGGGTCATTTTTCCTTTTTCTTTTCATGCCTAGTGATTTTTAATGGAGTACCAGAGATTGTGAATTTTACTTTTTTATGTGCTGGGTATATTTTATTTCCTATAAATATTCTTCTGGGACACAGGTAATTTGGAAATCATATGACCCTTTGGGTCTCTTTTTTGAGCTATGCTATGTAGCACCAGAGTAGCATTTAGTGCAGTGTTAATTTTGCCCAGTACTGAATCCAAAGGCTTTTGAGTACTCTACTAAATACGTTCTGAATTATGAGATTTTTCCACTCTCTGTGGTGGGAATAGTAACTCTTCTGGTCCCTGTGTGAGTTTTGGGTATTGTTCCCTTTAATCCAAGAAGTTTAAACCTCAGAACTGTTGATGTTTTGGCCCAGAGAATCCTTTATTCTGGGGCCTTGTCTTGGGCATCATAGGATATTTAGCAGCATCTCTGGCTTATAGTCACGTGATGCTAGTAGTGCCCTGCCTTCCCCTCTGAAAATTATGACAACCCCAAATGTCTCCAGATATCACTATGTCACCCAGGGGGCAAAATCAGTCTTGATTGAGGACCACTACTCTAATCCTTTCAGATGGTTCTTTCCCTGAGTTCAGGTATTTCTTCATGTACATGGAAAGATCAGTACTCAACCCAGACTCAAGTGAGACCTTCTGTAGGTTTTCAGAACATTCTTTCTTTCTGTGTAGTATGCGTTCTCTCTGTCTGGCTCTGCAATCTTGAGCTACCTTCTACTCTGCAGGTGGCCAGCTACTTCTCAAGATACAACCAGGTAGTAAGGTATGATAATTACATGAATCACCTCATTCGTTTCCCCTCTCTCAAATGCCACTGTCTTTTTTTTTGTAATGTCTTATCTCTTGAAAAATGTTTCATTTATTTATTATGATTTTTAGTTGTTTTAGATGGAAGCTAAGTCCAATCCCTCTTACTCCATCTTGAATGAAAGCTGAAGTCTCAAAAGTTGTCTTTTACTTTTGAAGGGATGTTTTATAATGCTTCTGACACTGCACCCCCGAAAACATTAAAGTGGCAGGTCTTTGAGCCCTCATAAAGTTAATATCTCGCTTCCAGGAGTTCAAGTGTGTTACCCAAGATGCCAGGGTACCAGCCACTCCTTGCTCATTCTCTTGTTCATTCTGTTCAGTCAGCAGAATACATATGTAATGTCTTAGGTGGTCTAGATGGCTTCAGGTTATATTATGGTAGAGACTGAGAAAGTTGCAATAGCCCTTAGGCAAAACTGTAAGTTAATATTGTCCTGCACAACTGCCAGCTGTTTCTTGTACTTTTTACTTTAGTAACTGGAATGGAAAAGAATACATTCACCAAATCAGTACCTGAAGCTTAATTAATCATTCCTTCAACAGTATTATGTCTGGGACTTGCAGCTGTGCCCAGAGCTAAAATTTGGTTAAGTCTTTAACAGTCTGTGGTCATTTTTTAGGATCCGTCTGATTTTTGCAGATGATGCATGAGAAGGACTGTCACCCCTGCATACTTTTAAGCCTTTACTGGCGGCCCTAGTCTTTGTTTCTTTGCCTCTTTGGAAAAGCAATATTGTCTTTTATTTACTATCTTGTTCTCGGGAATGGGGCAGTTTCAGAGGTTTCCACTTGACTTTTTCCACTATGACAGCTTTTACCACATAGGTTCCTTTGTGGGAGTTATTCTAACTGCCAGATAAATAAATTCTAGTTATAAACTTGGGGAGTGGAGAGAGACAAGACTATTAGGTGGGTCTGCAGGCTCAGTGAGCTCACTATGAGCCAGACTTTTTCCAGGACTCTGTTTCTGACCTCAACTCAGAAAGTTTTGGCTAGGTTGTTTCTTTTGCCCCACAGAACCTCGACTTGGATCATTCTCTTAGTTCTATTCAGCTGGTAGCTGGTCTGGTCTAAGAAGGAATCACATATCCGGTTCCTTGGTGCTGTTTCATGTGGCCTTTCTCTTTCAATGAGGCTATTTTGGGCTTCCTCACAACATTGGTGCTCTCAGGGTATTTGAATCTTAGAAGTTACACGACCTCACTTCTGGCACATTCTTTGGGTCAGAACAAATCACAGGACCAACCCAGATCCATGGCGGAGGGCACCTAGATTCCTACTTTTGATGAGGGAGTGACAAGGTCTCATTGCAAAAGAGCATATGGGATAAGACATATCATTGTAGCCCTCTTTGGAAGTACAGTTTATCATATCACTGCTCCATCTGCTGTCTTATAGAATTTTATAGACCTTTTTTAGGTCTATAGACTCATTTGCTGTGGTTTCCTCTTTTAATCTATTCATCTCTTTATATATATATATATATATATATATATATATATACACACACTTAAAAATCTTTTTCCCTCTTATTTTGGTAAGGATTTAACAGAGATGTGTGTGGTCATTGAATCCATCATGGTTAATTGGCAGTTGTAAGCTTTGGAATCAGAGATTATTGCTTTTTTTCTTAGAGCTTCCTTGTTGTCTTAGTAGCGTATTGGGGAAAAAGGTTGTCTTATGTGTCTTTTCTTTTTTTCTCTCTGTCATTTGATAATTCTCTTATAATATATCAAAGAGAGTAGTGTTTGGGAGCAGTCTGCCCTGGTATAAAGGCATTACTCCTTGTAAGAGAATAAGGAGGTAAATTTTACATAGAGAATTTAAGCTTCTTTATAATCACCATGCATCAGCGTTCTGTGGTAAAATACTCTTTTCTGTCAGGAATGTTCCCTGCTTCCACATTTTCCTTTTGCTATGCCATTGCTCTTAGCTGAGGTTATACTATACTACTATACTTTATTAACCTGGGTTTATTAATATCTAATTATCTGAATGAGGGCTAGAGAAATGTTCCCCAGTTCTTTCAGAGCATGAACAATAGCATTGTCCCATTGGACGTCAGTTTTGTTTAGTGGTAGATTAATACCAACTTGAGTCTGTTTGAAAAGAGGTTTTTTTTTTAAAAAAATCATATTTTAAGAGGAATATTGACAAACAGAATCATCTCCAGAGGAGATCAGTTAGGATGCTTAAAGATCTGGAACCTGCAAATATTTAGACTTTGTTTTCTGGAGGAAAAAAAAAAAGACTTAAAAGAAGACAAGATAACTGTTTTCAAATATTTGGAGGTCATTAAAGAGGAAAGATTGCATCTGTTTAGAAATGAAATAGACTTTTATATGAAATAATGAGTTTTTGATTTCTGGCATTGTTTGAGTAGAGGTTGTCAGCCATGCTGAGGAGGGGTTCCTGTGTGAGTTGAGGGAACTCTTCTAAACCTTTTCAGATCTATTGTAATTCAGAGATTTTGTGACTCTTCTGTAGTTAACAGTTGTGTCATAAATGGTTGTTTGCTTAAAATCAGAATTGTGGGATATCATTATATTTTAAAAAGTATATTTGAAAATTAATCTAAAGTCTTTTCTGTTCTACAGGACTTAAATACTATTTATTCTTATCTTCATGGAATGGAAATATTATCAAATCTCAGGGAACATCAGCTTAGGTAAGTGTGATGCTGTGTTTAAGAGCATGTGCTAAGGAGTTATTCAAATGAGTTTGGATAGATAGTTGCAGGGACCAAATCATTTAGGGGCTTTTTATAGGATCTGCAAAGAAATTGGCCTTTCTCATTCCAGTTTTCCTTAGCCCTGGGACTTTGAGCAAGTCTTAATAACATCTAAGCTGCAGTTTTGTCTTCTATAAAATAGGGATAAAAAGATTACCTTTGTTACAGCATTTCGAGGATTAAATGAGAATATTTAAAGCAAAGTGCAGTGCTCAGTTTGTGCTAGCTAGTGAAAACAGAACTTTCTCTTTGTAGTTTGTATTGATATTTATTGTATCAAATGCTTGAGACGGGCATGGTATAATGTAGTGTTATATTAAAGTGGAAAGAGCAAGACTCTTGATTTGGCATAAGCTCCTATGGACAGTACCCATAAACTTTCCGAACCTCATTTTTCTATTCTGTAAAATGAGTTTTCTCTCCTGCTACCTTGTCTCATTGTGATTATATTTGTAAAAATACTTTTGAGTGCTATAAGCACTAACTATTATAACTTTGCATAATATTTTAGTTAAACTGTGTTTTTCTTCCATGACCAGCTTACTTATCACTTTTCTGGCTATTCTTTAAGTTTCTGGCTATGGACCAGATTCTAAATATAATTGTTTGGAATTTATTATTTTCTGTTTTCTGTGTAACATAATTTAGATATTAGTATATGTCAAGTAAGTGTATCAAGAAGAAAGAAAAAACTAGGGCATTAGTAGTAAAGTATTTTTAAATACAAGCAAATTTATATTTATTCAACAGATTTGTATGTGTGTGATCATATTTTTAAACTCCAGTGAAAAATTTAGTGATAGATCTGATCATTTTCTGTTGTAATTATATAACAATTTTTGAGACAATTCAAATAAAATAATTTTAAAAATTTTTACTTTTTAAAAAATATGTTAGATTAATGTCTGCAAGAGCACGCTATGAGAGATACAGTGGCAATCAAGTTCTTTTTTGGTGAGTATTTCCATAATTAGCTTAAATTAATGTTTAAAATTTAGATTGTTAGCATTGAAATTCATTTGATTCTGGAACAGTTTCTGTAGAGGAGATTGAAATATATTCCTAAACTATGAAATATAATGTACATAGGGCTCACAGAAGGTGTACAGTGCAACGAAGTTTAATAAATATATACACCTGCGTAACTACTATGCAGCGAATATGTAGAACATATCAGCTCTTCAGAAGGCTCTAGTCAACTGTCTTGGAAAGGTAATCTAGTTCTGATGTCTGTCACCTTAGATTAGTTTTGTCTCTGTAAATTTCATACAGATAAAAATCTGTTGGTCAGGCTTTTTATACTTCACAAATGTTGCAGATTCTTCCATGTTTTTGCATTCATTCTTTTTCAGTGCTTTACAGTATACAGTTATGTGAAAATGACATAATTTGTTTATCCTTGCCACTATTAATAAATATTTGGGTTGTTTCCAGTTTTTCCCTATCATGAATAGTAAGTTTCTATGAATATTTTATTCATGTGTTTTTGTACCTCTATTTACTCATTCTTCTTGGAAATATTCTTAGGAATAAAAGCATTGGAAATGCACATGCTCAAATTTAAGAGATTCTTTTTTTATATATAAATTTATTTATTTAGTTTTGGCTGCGTTGGATCTTTGTTGCTGAGTGCAGGCCCTCTCTAGTTGCAGCAAGCAAGGGCTCTCTTTGTTGCAGTGTGTGGGTTTCTCATTGCGGTGGCCTCTCTTGTTGCAGAGCACGGGCTCTAGACACGCGTGCTTCAGTAGTTGTGGCTCATGGTCTCTAGAGCTCAGGCCCAGTAGCTGTGGCGCACGGGCTTAGTTGCTCCGCGGCATGTGGGATCTTGCTGGACCAGGGATCGAACCTGTGTCGCCTTCATTGGCAGACGGACTTTCAACCACTGTGCCACTAGGGAAGTCCCAGGAGCTTGTAACATTAGAATCTAAAATACGTATTTCATTTTATCTCGTGATTTTGTTTTTTGTTTTCCTGCTTAGTAATGATGATGAATGATTTTCATGTTTTTATAGGCTATTTGGATAGCTCTTTTATGATCTCCTGATTCAAGTTTTTGACCATGTTTTAGTTGGGCTATCTTATTTCTGTTGATTTGTAGGAAATTTTTATGAATTCTATATCTGAGTCCTTTGTTGGGTACATAAGTTGTGAATATCTTCTCCCACTGTGTGGCTTGCTTTATTTTACTCTGTTAATGGCATCTTTTGAAGAGAAGAAATTTCTTACTTTCTCAATTTTTCCACTTGTGATTAGTGCTTCTCATGTCCTGTTTAAAAAAACAAAATCTTTCCCTTCCTCAAGATTATGAAGATATTCTTCTCTGTTTTTCTTCCAAAAATTTTGGCAACAGTGATCTCTTTTATTATATATATGCAGCTGGTATAGAGAAATGGTATTAACTTCAGTGTTTCATTGCACACTGCGTTTGTCATTATTTCTAAGTATTTACTGGATTCATATGGATTTTAATAGCTTTATTTGTTCATTTGTTGATTCATTGACTTACTATTAAATGTTTGTCTGCTATACATTATGCTTAGCCTGGTGTAGAGTGGTGGGAAGAAACGGGATTTGTCCTTATGAGTTTATTGTATAGTGGGGGAGAGAAAGTTAATTAAAATAGCTACACATATTTAAGTGCTGTCAAGGAAAAGTACAGATTTATAGATAAGTGGAACAGAATTGAGAACCCAGAAATAAACCCTTATATTTATAAACAGTTTCTGTGTATTTTTTTTTAATGGCCTTGTAGCTATGTAGCTAAGATGTGCACACAATGTGGGTATAACACAACTGAGTATTAAAAAGGAACCACCAGTGAACAGTTTATTTTTGATGAAGGTACTAAAGCATTTCAGTTGGGAAAGCATAGTTTTTTCAACAAGTGGTGCTGGGGTGATTGAGTATTTATATGCAAAAACTTAATTTAGATTCTTATCTTACACCACACACAAAAATTAATGAGATATTCACTTTACACCCATTAGAATAGCTACAGTTGCAGGTGTGCGAAATGGGTAAAGGGGATCACCTGTATGGTAATGGATGGAAACTAAATTTTTGATAGTGAGCATGCTATAGGGTATACAGAAGTAGAAATATAATGTTGTACATATGTTTTTTTTGTTTGTTTTTTTTGTGGTACGCGGGCCTCTCACTGTTGTGGCCTCTCCCGTTGTGGAGCACAGGCTCCAGACAGCCATGGCTGTCCGGCCAGGCTCAGCGGCCATGGCTCACGGGCCTAGCCGCTCTGTGGCATGTGGGATCTTCCCAGGCCGGGGCACGAACCCGTGTCCCCTGCATCGGCAGGCGGACTCTCGACCACTGCGCCACCAGGGAAGCCCTATACATATGAAACATATGTTGTAAACCAGTGTTACTTCAATTAAAAATATATTTTAAAAAGTAGCTGCAGTCAAGGATAAAGAAGATGTGGCACATATATACAATGGAATATTGCTCAGCTGTAAAAAGAAACAAAATTGAGTTATTTGTAGTGAGGTGGATGGACCTATAGTCTGTCGTACAGAGTGAAGTAAGTCAGAAAGAGAAAAACAAATAGTGTATGCTAACACATATATATGGAATCTAAAAAGAAAAAAAAAAGGTCCTGAAGAACCTAGGGGCAGGACAGGAATAAAGATGCAGATGTAGAGAATGGACTTGAGGACATGGGGAGGGGGAAGGGTAAGCTGGGACGAAGTGAGAGAGTGACATGGACATGTATACACTACCAAATGTAAAATAGATAGCTAGTGGGAAGCAGCCGCATAGCATAGGGAGATCAGCCCAGTGCTTTGTGTCCACCTAGAGTGGTGGAATAGGGAGGGTGAGAGATCCAAGAGGGAGGAGATATGGGGAAATATGTATAGCTAATTCACTTTGTTATAAAGTGGAAACTAACACACCATTGTAAAGCAATTATACTCCAATAAAGATGTTAAAAAAAAAGTATCTGCAGTCTAAACATAACAAGTGTTGGTGAGGATATGGTGACACCTGGAATCGTCATATATTTGTGGTGCAGATGTAAGTATAGCCACTTTAGGAAATGGTTTGGCAGTTTCTTAAAATTTTACCATATGACCTAGTAATTCCACTTTTACATATTTACCCAAGAGAAATGAAAACACGTGCAGAGACTGTACATAGATGTTCTTAGTAGCACTAATCACACTAGCCTAAAACTCGACATAATTAAATTGTTCAGTGAATAGATAGATAAAATGCTCTGCATCTGTATAGTGGAATACTATTTGGCAGTAAAAGGGAATAAAATGCTGCTGCACACTACAACATGGACAAACCTCGAGCATATTATGCTAAATGGAAGAAGCAAGATAGAAACATCACATATTACATGATTCCATTTATACGAACTGTCCAGGAAAGACAAATCTATAGAGACAGAGCAGGTTATTGGTTACCTGGGGCAGGGATTGACTGCAAACGAGGCATAAGAGATCTCTTTGTGGTGATGTTTGCACAGTTCTTTTCAATATCATAAAAGTTATTGAATTGTGCACTTAAAATGAGTGAATTTGTGGTATATTGATTATACCTCAGTTAAGCTGTTTAAAAATTAGTATAAAGAGTTACCCAAATCTATATTTGACCAATCATAAACAAAGGAATTTCTAAAAAATGAATGTGGAAGTTAATTAAGTAAAGAGTTTAAATTCAGAGATTAGTGGAAGCAGAGAAAAGAATGTGTATAGTTGACCTTAACTGGGAAGCAGCATGATAGAAAGAGTGAAAATAAACCACTATGTTCAGTGCTTCGAGCAGAGAGGAAGAAACAGGAAGAGAGGGGTGTGGAGAGCCAGGTGGAGACCACCTTAATAGTTTTTGTTCTTTATTTTAGGAGCAGTGTGAAGCCTTTGAAAGGAGTAAGATCTGACAAGATTAAATATGCCACTCTTCTCTAGGCTAAATTATTCTTAGATTCGTTTGCTTGCAGAGAGAAAGGAGATAGCATGGCCGCATGTTAAAAGACTTTCACTTTCCTTGTGTTTACTCATCAGATGCATTGCCAAACTGTGCTCTGAGAGTGGAATTCTCTGCAAGCTTTGAACAGTTTCTGATTCGTGAGCTGGCATGGCTCTCTTGGTAGTAGGAGTGAATTTCAGGATTTTTCCTCCGTTTATAGTAGAATTTACTGACAACTTTGTGACTGTTTCAGCAAAGTGAGATAAAAATTAGAGGCTTCTGGTAGCATCCAATCATAACTTTCTTCTGTCTTGATTTGGGGCAGAATTTTCTTTTACTGATTTTATTCCTTCTTGTACAAAAGACATGTTTCAAAAGAATTAGAAAGTAAAATTTCCAAACAAAGAACCTTAAGTAGGAGATTTTCAGCCATTTGTATCTTCCTTCTGTGAAGATGGAAGGGATGGATATAAAGAACTTTAAAGTATCTTCTGGAAACTTGATGATACTTTTTTCTTATGGTAGGCAATAGGATTCACCCAGAAAGCTCATCCTGGGTGCTATGTAGAGTGGTTTGGAGGCTTAGTTTTCTGGGTGGAGGATGGTACTATTCATTGAGAATGAAAAAAATGAAGCTTGAAAGAAATGATAGGTAGATTTTGAACATGTTGAAGTTGAGTTGTGTGTTAGATATACAAGCTAGCATGTCAAGTCGCTAGCCAGATAGATATACAGTTCTCCAGCTCAGAGGAAATGTTTGTTTTATAAAATTAGAATTGTCTACATATTGGAATTAATTGAAGTTTTAGGTTTGATAAATTAAAAATACTTGAGAGAAAGAGAAAAAGATTAGATTATAAAGTAACATATAACAAGATTCTCGGTTTCCATTGGAGATTTAACTGAACTAAAAATGATGATGGACTTAAGTCATCTGATATTCTTTTATCCCTCAGACACACATAAAGTGAAAGATTGGGTAGGCATTTAATGTATTTCTGTCAGAATAAAATTTAAGAGAAAGGTAGATCCAAATTATAGTTGAACGTGAAGATGGAACATTGATAAACTTGTGAATTCCAAACAGTATTGTCTTTAATATACAATAAACTTGTAATATACATAAAAGTTATCAGAAATAGAATTTTTTTTTTAAGCTTTTTTTTTTTTTGCAGTGCGCGTGCTCCTCACTGTTGTGGCCTCTCCCGTTGCGGAGCACAGGCTCCGGACGCGCAGGCTCAGCGGCCATGGCTCACGGACCCAGCCACTCCGCAGCGTATGGGATCTTCCCAGACCGGGGCACGAACCCGTGTCCCCTGCATTGGCAGGCGGACTCTCAACCACTGTGCCACCAGGGAAGCCCTAGAAATAGAATTTTTTAATATGCACATGTAGTACAATATTTAAGTTAATCTTCATCAAATGTGGTGATCCAGTATACAAAAATGAGGAATGGGAAGTTACTGATATAAATTAATAAGATAGAGCTAATAAACATATATTTCTGAAGCCTGTATCTTAAGCTAGTGATTATGTATGATATGAGCATGGTCTGTATGAAACCTTAGGCAACAGGCGAAATTTCCAAGGAGAGTTAATTTTTAATGATTTATATTATTAGAATATTTTTCATGTTTTGTATTTTGTACTGAATCCATATACATGTGAATGTGTGTATTTATTTACTCATCTATTATATTCATTTAAACAGTTCAGAAACTATTGCCAGATGTTGGTATATCCTGCTTTCTGGATCTGTGCTTATGAAAGACTCCATGGTTTTGCCTCCTTGCAGGTATGTTTACATTTGCTGTTTAGTGTATGTGGTAGGCAAAGTTAGATTACAACTAGTTGTTTTATTTCTTACGTTAAACTGTTTTTATGTAGATGTGTATTTTCTCTTAGTAGGTGATACATTTTAGAAATGTCCTTGCTTTTTGGTACTATTTGAAGTACTTGGCAGGAATCAACTGATATTTCATATTTCTTGGGGGTATAGTCTATAGTTTACACCATGGCATATTATACTGCTATTTGATCTTTGTATGTGAGATTTGATCTCATTTATCTGGTGGTTTTGCATTCATTGCTGTTAGTTATAGGGAGGCAATATATCTTTATAGTTAAGAAATCGTTTTTTAGAGTAATGCGAACTAGGCTAGTATCCTGATTTTGTCACTTATTAGTTTTATGACTTTGGGCAAATTATAGTTTTCTTGTATGTAAGAGGATAATAATGGAACCTATTTAAAGTGCCTTATGAGGTTATAGCAAGCTACTACTCAAAGTTCTCAATGGAACTCTGTAAAAGTTGACATTCTAGACCCAGACTGCTTGAGTTCACGTCTTTGCTCTACTGTATAATACTTTTTGGACAAATTACTTAATCCCCTTGTGCCTCGGTTTCCTCATTTGTAAAATAGGGACAATAATAGGATGTATTTCATAGACCAGCTTTGAGTAATAAATGAGTTTATATATATATAGAGAGAGAGTTCTTAGAACAGTGCCTGGCTGTTACAAGTAATTGTAATTATCATCATCAGAATTATTAGGTAAAAGAAGAGTGGTTGGAAAGATGATCAGATATAGTATTCTTAGAGAATTTGGTCTGTTAGTAATTCTTAAGATTTTGGGGCCTCAAATTATAATTTGTAATTTTTTGGTGACTTTCCCAATAATGTTGAGAAGAGATTTTTAGGCTTTTAAGGTAAGACTTCTAATTGCAGCTAAATTAATTTAGTTGCAAAACTATTAAATTTAAGTATCAAGGTACATTCTACTTGACAGATGGTACGAGACATCTCAGTTTTGATGCCATTTTTAAAGCCATGTCTTTATTCTTGAAACTTTATATCATCAACTTTTGGTTAAATGAAATCTGTACTTCTTCATTAGTAGTATAAAGCATATTGTTGACTGTTTTTACAAATAAAATACATAATAGTTCTTGGTTATTTAAGCCTTTTGGGTATTGTTCCTTTCTGTTATGTTTCTGAAAGTCACTTTAGTGATTTGTAATGAGTTAGCTACTGACACAGAATAAGCTGGGTTGATACTGACTACAGTTATATTTTAAGATTATTAGTATTGTTCTTTTGAATATTTTATCACCCTTTTCTGCTGTTAGGAATAGTCAAGGACTTCATGTAGCCATTAATCAGCCACAATAATTCACCATGAGTTTGTGATCAAGACAATGAAGTTTATCTTTTAAATAATTGATAGTATGAGTTTTTTTTTGTTTTGTTTTGTTTTTTCTGTTTTTGAGCTGTACCACTCAGCTTGTGGGATCTTAGTTCCCTGACCAGGGATTGAACCTGGGCCCACGGCAGTGAAAGCACCAAGTCCTTACAACTGGACTGCCAGGGAACTCCTGATAGTATGAGATTTTAAAACAATAAAGTCATGGAATGCTTTAATGTAACCATCATGAACTTCACAGCAAACATGATTGTAGAAGTCTATTTAATCGTTATTTAGAGAGCAGTTCCTAGGTAGGAGATTTATATTTTGTGTTTGAGAGATACTTGTAATAGGTTATTGTTAGGATTAAATGAGTCAATACAAATAAAATACATAGAATAATGCTTAGCATATATTAAGCATCAAATAATTTTTGGCTTCTGTTCATTATAATAGCGTTGGGATATGATCATTATGGTAATCAACAGATATGAGCACTACCTAGTATAAGACAAGGAATAATAGTAGTTTTCTAGGTTATAAAAATACAGCCTATTTCTCTAGATATTAAGGTATTTGTTACTCCCTTATCAGTGAGTAGACAGAAACCACACAGTAATTTGAACAGGGACAGTTTAAAGAATTATTAAGTACTTTAAGAAGTTAGGTACTAAGAGGGATAAAGGAACTAAGGGAGAGAGTACCCAAGGAAGGAACAAACTTGAAAGGGGAGCCCTCTCCCCAAAACTGAAATTCAGAACTTGTTGGTGAATATGTTACTTGTAGCCCAATAGCTAATGGAGAAGTTCACTTGGTTGCCCTGGGCCAGAGCTGTACACAGTTATTGAGTCAAGGCTGGCAGGAAGAGATCCTCTGACCAGGACCTGTAAGCAATAAAATCCTCCCTCACTCGGCCCAGGGTGCAGATGGGCCCTGAGGCTGGAGATAGGACGTCCTTTTGCTTTACACACACATACCCCGCAGAGCAAAGAATACTTTCCTACTGCGGTGTCCTGGTACTAGCACCGTTTACTGACAGAGCTTTAACATTTCCAGCTGGCCAACGGAGAATCTTGACTAAATCCAGATGCTTTATTACAAAGTAAATTTGAAACTGAGAGCAAATACATTTGAACTTCAGAGGCAATAAATGAATGGTACAGTCCACTCTCTTGGTTACTCAGTTTTCATTCTGAACACATTTGAGCTTCCATCCAACTCTGTTTCCACCTAACAAGATGTAGCTATCGTTCATATAAGTAAACAAGTTCCTACTCTCTCCCCAAAATAAGGAGATGCACAGTCCCAACAGTCATTACTCGCTGTTAATTACATATTCCATCACAGTACTCTGAATATTCTATTAACTACAAACTACTTTGTAAAGTTCACCTCCAACAACTTATATATAAAATAAATATGGGGAAGAGAGGGAAGAAGAAAATGGTTAATGTTTACACAACTCCAGACATATACACAATATATAGTCCTTGTTTCTGTAACTGCTCACAAGCCCGTAGTTGGTATCTCTCGCTTCCTTTTTTTCACCACCCATTCAGTACTTCCAGCCTCAGCCAGAATTTCAGCTGTTCTGCGTTCTTTACCTGTTGATGGGCACAAAACTTTCATTTCTGAAGGATCCTTAATTATCCTGCCCACCCCACCCCCCGTCTTTTGGTTGCCATTAGTTTTCCATTAACCTTTAACAGCAGACTTGAAAGTACTACAAGGAGCCTCAATGAACCCCCTGAGCTTCAGATGTAGTTCTCCTGGCCCCCATTGTATGCAGCAACTCAGTTTCTCCTTGGTGATTGGAATCAATCACTCAGGCCAGTAGAATAACCCCTTTTCCTGCCTTTTGGTTCAGCGGCCAGGTGGAAGTCTCTAATTCAGTGGAACTGTTGCTGTGTTTCCATAGCTATACATAATCTAAGACTAAGAATCAAAACCAGTAGAGCTCACAGTTTTAGGGAGGGGAAGTAAAAGTTCTGTGAATGAGTTATTAAGTATAACAGTGAGAAGAGCCACTCCTGTTTCCATGCCTTGAATATCAGACCCATGTATTCTGGCTGTTGGGGGAGACAAACCATTGCTGTACTTCTGCTGCTGCAAAATGAGTACCTTGATTGAAAATGATGCTGTCTAGAGTGCCAAGGCAATAGATAGGCATTTTATGAGCCTGTGGATAGTGGTGCTGACAGAAGCATTATGGGCAGGAAAGGCAGATCATTTCCAGAATATGTGCCTGTTCCAGTGAGGACAAATATAGTCCTTCTCCATGATAGAAAAGGTCCAGTGTAAATAATCTGCCACTAGGTGACTAAATAGTCCTCCTGAGGAATGCTTCCATATCAGAGACTCAGTATTGGTTTCTGCTGTTGGCAGATTAGGTACCCAGCAGTAGCATTGGCAGTTGAGCCGCTGCATATTTTCCATCTCTGTCACAATAGCCACTTCATTTGTGGGCCCATTGAACAAGCACTGACTGGGGAGAAAGAGTTTGACATCCGTAGAGCATGTTATTTTGTTTACCTGTACAGTGGATGCTCTTTGTGCATTCACAGGGGACACAGGTATCTTCAAAGTCTGTATCCATTTTGAAAGAGGTCCTTCCATATACCTCTTCCCAGACTTCCTTGTTACCAGTCTTCCAGTCCTTTTCCTTCCAAGTCTCTGACTATTCAACCACACCATTAGTAACTGCCCCCATGAATGTTTAGATATTGATCTAATAATTCTGGCCTCTCTCAATCCAGATAAAATGGACAACCAAATGTACTGCTTGAAGTTCTATTCCCTAGAAGGATTTTCCTTCACTACCTTCCTTCAGGGTCACCTTTGAGTGGGGCTGTCCACTTTGGGGTAGTACTAGCATGTTGTGCAGACTCATCTGTGAAATAGGCTCAAGTTTTTTCTTCCTCAGTCACATGGTCATAAGGGACTCCCTGGGTGGGCATAGGCACAGATTGAAGTGGAGGAGGCAATGCAACAGGAATTGGTGTTGAAGGAGTCTGAGCCACCTGCTCATGCAACTTATTCTGGACCTGGGTAAACTTGATCTCTTATATACCATATTTATTTGATAATAGATTGCTACTGCTCATGCCCAACCCTTATGGCTAGGAATGCAGTTCATGATAGGAAGTTCAGGCTGCATAGTCACCTGATGTCCCATGGTTAGGCATTCAGCCTCTACCTTGCCCAGTAGCAAGCCAGAAATTGTTTCTGGAAAGTAGAATGTTATTTGCAGAAGAGAGCATGGATATTTCAGAAATTCTAGAGACCTGTACTGTCATTCTCATATTAGTGCTTGTCGGACACTCCCTAGAATATCACTATTTGCCGTGAACACTAAATAATCCATCATTGGATATGCTGGATCATAAGGCCCGAGTAGTAGAGTGGCTTCTACTGTGTCCTGAACTTGGCGGCAGCCTTATGGGCAACTCTGAAGATGGGTCAAAGTAGCACACTTTATGTGTTACCTCCAGAATCTGAGAAAACTAACCAAACATTGTGTCTCTTCTTTTGTGCTAGATAGTATGAGGTGCAGCAACTTGTATTTCACCTTGTAGGTGATACGTTGTCATACCCCAAATTATGGAACTC